CAGATTCATATTCATATTTATCATTATTAATCAAGTAAGATAAAATTTCAAACAGTATAAATGGAACAATATACTGAAACGCAATGTAAAAACTTAAAAAAAAAATAAAATTAGCAGTTATTATATTTAAGTACTTAAAATTATTATGTGAATACCTTCTAATCTTTTTAATAATTTCATAAATCCATTAAAAAATTGTAACTATTATTCTTGTATTATTGAATATTAACAGCTATTATATTTTCTAATGATTTTATGGATCATGACTGTACAATAATATAAATATAAAATAAGTAATTTTTTTATAATTTCTTAATAACTACTATTTTTTTTTGCGTTCTCATTTAGCCTAAAATTTAATTACTATACTTAACTTTACACAAATATAATAAATTCTGAAACTGTTTGAAAAATCTGCGATTATTGCATTGAGAGAGATACCGAGAAAAAAAAGAAGTCCATAGAGGTTAAAAGGTGTAAGGGTACTTTAGAACAGCATGTGAGCTCGCGTGCAGGACTTGTAGATGCCAAGAAGTTGCAATCTCTTCCGGCACCCTAGTTTTCTAAATCATTTTAGTTATATCAAGCGAGGACGAGTTGAGGTGCAACGCGGTTGCTTCACCTCACTACCAGTTAAAACATGGTATTAGCAAGGCGAACGCAAAAGTCGAACGCACATTGTGTTAATATCTGTGTGTGTTGTTGTGGAGATCACACATTGACGTTCAAAAACGTGTTTCCTTCGCACGTTTTCGAATATATCTACTTCGAAAACGAGGACACAGCGGCAGCCATGCAATTGGTTGAAAGAGGGATCAGAAACTAATTTTAGAATAAGAAAAATAAATACGGAAATAGGACAAAATTTAAAAAACGTAACTGAGCAAAGAAAACATCCTATTTCATCTTATTGACCTTCGAAGTATTATGACGAGAATAAAAATGTTTACGTTATAAAAATTGTCATACAAAATGATGTGCTACTAATTTTGCTTCATAATTTTAATGTTAAACATAAGTCGAGTTTTACCAAAATTCGCTTAATATTTCGAAGGTCTACAAATACTAATAATTTAATTCACTGAAAGTATACTGACAATGAGATGTTAATTAAAATAAACACGTAGGATATAGATTAAATTAAATGCACAACTTATCAAAAGAAAAGAAATGATATAAATATGATATAAATCATTAGTCAATTATCAGAAATTCAAATTAATTTCAGAAATAAAATGTAAAAATGACACGAATAATATATATCGCTTGAAAAGGAGAAATTTTGCGGGGGCAGATTCAAAGAACGGGATAAGATAATATTCGACATAGCTGTGTACACGTATTGGTAAAATACAAGGGTGATACAATTATACAAAGAAAAGATTAGAAAATATCAGCAAGCAAGAACAACAATGTCCTCGTACGTATACATAACGTGATATATAAATATCGTACAGTCATTCGGTATTACGTACGCTGCACTTAGACGCGACATAATCTTTTACGATCTCGCGTATCTTCGTTATGCTAGATACGAGACTGTTTGTCGATTGGTTAAAGTTGCCGATAGATCTAACGGATCTTACGCCAAAAAAACGCGCAGACTTTAAAAAGAAATTGGAAACGATAAGTATCGCAGGATTCAAAAATAAATGAACGATACATCGCAGCTCTAGCAAGATTGAGATCTAAGCCAAGTTTTTGTTCTTAATTTAAACATTATATATATATATTGTTACTCTTTGTATTTAATTGTAAAGAAAATAAATTTTATATGCAGGGATATTATCTAGATTTTAGAGAGATAATAAAGAAAACGCTTTTTACTCGATTGATACATACTGAAAAATAATAATTTGCACTTTTTGCCTCTTTCTTATTTAGAGTCGCGACATGAGAAACCGAAAACAAAGATAGTCTCAAAATTTATAAAAATTCTTTTGAACCGATCTGATTTATGTTCAAAAAAATTTTTAAACATAATTTTTGCCTTCGATTGCGTTCATATAAGGAATACGTATTTTAGGACTCTATCTTTATTCATTACCCGCGTTTTTCTATATCGGAGCTGATCGGGAAGAAAAAATTGTAATCTGATTAGCGAAATTCTCTCTAGAGAAATTTAAGTGCAAAAGAGAGAATATGTGACACCTACCTTCATCATAAGCAGTATTGTATTCAGTACGATGAGTATCATGATAAAATATTCAAATGGTGTGGATACGACTATCCTCCAGATTTTGTACTTTATGCTATTCCGTTCCTTCGGCATGTACCTCTCGAGCGGGCGAGCTTGTATTGTAAAGTCTATACAAGATTTCTGAAAGATTAACACAAAATTATTAATGTTTGATGCTAATAAGAAGGTAACTTTAAAAGGTAACTTTACAAATTTAAAAAAAAACAAGAATATGTAATATATATTTTTAACATATATTTAATATATATAAAAATAATTTT